ACAGGATCAGGTGAAAAGGTTTTGCAAAGATGCTTAAAAGAAAGAAAATTTTCAAAAAAAAAAAAACTCAAAAAAAAATTCTGTTGCACACATTTACCTCCACGTAGATTATTATTATTATTTTTCTTCAACTAAACACAGATCGGTAGACGAAATAATATTTGATGTGTTTTTGGGGGTGGTTTTGCCGGTGAAGAATGGAGGTAGTGAGTGGGGTAGGAGCGTAGCTGGAAGTGTAGAAGCATAGGACAATGATTGCTGCCTTCAACTTATACTTGCTCTTCTCGCTTTTAAGTTTTAACCACATATTAATACTAATCATTTCTTTTATTTCTTTTTTTCTTTCTTTTGGCTCTGGTTTTTTCCCTTCAATAATTTTATTTACTTCTTCCAAACAAACAAAACAAAGGGAAGGGTGCCAATACAGGCGATTTTCAGATTTTGGCCGTGGTGGATCATATCAACTATTTTGACAATTTGTATTATTTATTTGAACGATTATAATAAAGGGTTGGGTTAAAACCATAGTTTTTAAATCAGACTCGGGAATCGACCCAGGCAGGTTTTGGGTCACTGAGTCAATTGTTGAATTATATATAGAATTTTTTACATATAAATATAAATAAAATTAAAGTAACAAAAATAAATATTTTGTATATAAAATTTGTACATCAAAGTGTTAAAATAATTGTATCTCACAATAAATATTTACTATATCAATATATTTATATAGTTTTTACTTTATATATAAAAAATAAAAAAATAAAAAATATATAGGGACCGGGTCTACCGGGTTGACCCGGCCGTGTCAATGACCCAGGTTGACCGGGTCAACCGAGTTTGACCGAGTCCATTGTTACCTGGTCCAAATAGCCCACCTGGACCGGTTCTGGCTCCGGGTCGGCCGGGTCCCTGATCGACCTGCCAGGCCGGTCCGAGTTGAAAAACAATGGTTAAACATTTGATAAAATCAGTTGATTGGCGTTAATTTGTTGAATAAAATAAGTAATGTGAGTAAATATATAGTTACTCAAATAATAATGATAAGAATAATAATAACAATAATTGTTTATCCAAAAAAATATATAAAGTATTATAAAAGAACATAATTTCGTAGATCAAATTCAAACAATATTAATTAATTTCAATTAGCTCACCTTCTACATATATATATAGAAAGGATCATATGAGAAAATGAGATAGTGAAAGAAATAAGATTAAATGTGGATCATTGAATACATCATATCAATGGTCATGATTAAGTCAAAATTTGGTCATTAATGACAATATGGTAAATTAACATATACACTATCATCAAATGTATATAGTTGACTAGTCAATAGGGGCAAACCGATTATTACACACCAACCTACCAACCTTAATATTTGTACCACACAAACAAACACAAACACCAAAAAAACACACACGCACACACTCAGCACATACACACACACTCAGTGCAAACACATACACACACACACACACACACACACAAGCCCAGTATGCCGAAGACTGCCGACGTGCATTCGCTGGCTTCCTCCATACCTCAGTCGGCCTCCACCGTACCTCCGGCGTGTCTCTGTTGTTGCTCTGTCGCCCGCCAGAGAGTGCCGAGATTTAGGAGATTATTCCGGTCGTGCATCCGAATGTGTCTCCGCCGTGCCCCGTCCGGGCCTTCATCGTGGTTGCTGGTCCCCGGCGTTGCCCTTCGGCTGCCGCTCTGAAATATGAATGGGCGGTGCTCTGCCGCGCCTGCAAAGCCGACCTCCATTGTCGCCGCTCCCGTCTCCTTCTCCGCAGGAGGCTCTGACGAGGAGCCATACGAGGCGGAGGCTCAGGCATTCTTGTTGTTTGCGTTGCGGAGGGGATGGCGGCAGTTGGGGCGGGATGACGGCGACGCCGCCGACGGCTGAGTGTTGGTAGCGACGAACTTGGGGCTGAGATTGAGCTAAATTGGTTATGAGATTTGGTGAAATTTGGGGCTGAGATTCGGCGACATAAGGGCTGCGATTGAGTGACGGGAATGGGTGTTTTGGGGCTGAGTTTATTTTTGGGGAAAGGGAATTTTTTTGAACCTCCCAAAGTATGCCATTTTTTAGAGTTTGTCATACAAACTTTTCTTTTGACAATTTGCCTCTCAATGTAATCGAAACTGACAATTTGCCTCCTCGATTAAAAACCCTAATATGGTCCAAAAGAGTTCTTAACTCAATTAATGATAAATTTTAATTTAATCTTTAAAAATGATTTAGGGCTTTTAAAGCCCACGACCAAACGAACAAAATGAGGTATGATTTGTCAAATTCTGTAAATTGATACTTTTATAATCGATCCACGAAGATAGTAGGTGCACATGTGTATAAAAAAAAAAATCAATTCAAGTTTTCTGATAATCAAGATATCCGATTTTCGATTGGGAGGTGTCATTTGAAAGCTAGTAAGACAATTTTATAACGCGTAAATCTTATGAAAATCCAACAGTCGGATTTCGATAAGTATTTAGAAAACTACTGATCAATAGTTAGCTTTTTTTTCAGGCTACTAACCAAAATCTGACCATTGGATTTTTATAAGATTTACTTTGGTAGAAAACTTGTCCTCCAAGCTTTCAAATGACACCTCCCAATCGAAACTTGGATGTCTTGATTATTAGAAAACTTGAATTGAATTTTTTTTTCTGTACACACGTGTTCCTGCTATCTTCGTGGATCGATTTTAGAGGTATCAATTTTCAGAAATGGACAAACCATACCTCATTTTGTTCGTCTCGCCATAGATTTTAAAAGCTCTAAATCAATTTTAAGGATTAATTTAAAATTTATCATTAACCGAGTTAAAAGCTCTTTTGTGCCATATTAGGATTTTCAATCGATGAGACAAATTGTCAGTTTCGATTACATTGGGAGACAAATTGTAAAAAGAAAAAAAAGTTTGTATGGCAAACTCTAAAAAGTGGCATACTTTGGGAGGTTGAAAAAAAATTTCCCTTTGGGGAATTAGGAAATTGGGGCTGATATTCAATGATGGGAATAGGTGTTCATTGTTTGGGGCTAAGTTTATTTTTGGGAATTAGATATATTTAGGGGACTATTTTGCAAATTTTTGAACTTTTAATATATTATAGTTTATTACTTAAGGGTAATTTATAATTGAATAAAGATTAATTTATGCACAACAATGACACATTAGATGCACAATATTGTGTCTATATGTGCATTAAAAAAATAGTGTCATATGTATACGACATTATTAAAAATCTGATAAATACATCATTTTTTTCGATAAGTGATTTTTTCACAGTATTTGTCTATAGATATGCGATTTAAAAGTAAAAAACAAATAATCAAAACGAACAATAAAATTTCGAACTAAAATTTTTTATATAATCGGTTCAATTTGTTGGTTAACATAAATAATCAGAATAACCGAAATAAATTATATTATTTATTCTGGAAACATGTCTAGTGTTTAATATTTTTTATTTAATATTATATGTAATTTTTTTTATTTGAATAATAATAATAATAATAAGTAAAAAAGATATAATGTGCAATCTAATAGTTATTTATGTACAATTCATCCAACACCACGGTGCACGGTGCCGGTCTATATTGTGCAATATTGTGCAGATTGAAACGACCGAACTTTTGGTCCAAATCTTTGAATCTGGACATAATTAAATGTTTTACTCGATTCGGTTAACCGAATTATTCTAACTAATTGAAATAATTTGTTCTTTATATTAAAATTAAATTTAATATGTTAATAATTTTATTTATCATTTTCTATATTATTTTTTTGTTGAAAATATAAAATATATAAAATAACAAAATCAATAAAATATAACCACCCAAACACAAATGTGCATCTAGTACAATATTCGTGTGCATTCTATTGAACGGGTAATTTTTATTTTTATTTTTTTTTATGTGCATTCAATTTTAGAAAAATTTAATAATGTGTATTTTAATTTAACATTATTTTACACTTATTATATGACTCATGTAACTAAAATATATTTAGTAATTTTGAATTTTTATTTAATATATTATAATATTATCTGTTAAAATTAAATAATAATATTCTTTAAATAAATTAATTTTGAAAGCATTACAGTGCATTTCGTCTAACGCTATAGTGCAATTTGACATTCACTAATGTGCAGAATGATTACTAATATTGTGCAATAGATTTGAGTTTTTTTTATGTTTTATTATTATTATTATAAAAAATGTATTTTATTATTTTAATATTTTTTATGTTTTTTTTATTAAGTTTTTGGTTAAAAATGACATATTTTATATATGTATAAAAGAAGATATAAAAATAATATTATTTTACATATTTTTTCATAAATTACAGATTTGACCTATGTTGTTAAATTGAGATATAATAAAAATTCTCAAATTTGCAATTAGACCCCTGTGAAATATCAAATTCTCAAAACAAAGTCCCCACCCACAAAACACGTTTCACGTGTTTCCGGCCAATTCGGCCATATCCTTGCCGTCGTGAATCGGTAAAATAAAGATGCATACAGACAATCCAAGGTAATCAATCACCGATTTACCGAGAATGCTGGCAAACTCGATGAAGATGATGACGCCGTCGTTGTTGGTGTCGACCTCTCGCATCATCTCACTGAGCTCGAAGTAGGTGAACAACTAGTCCATCTTGTCCGATTTGGCCGGCCTACTTGGCAACGACGAGGTACTTGTGGTTGTCATGCCTTAATAGAGACGGAGGCGAGGCGAGGCGAGACAAAGGCGAGATGAGGCTGCGTGAAGAATTGAAGGTGAAGGAGAAAAAAGTTGTGTGACTGAGATTTGGGCATCGAGAGATTAAAATTAAAACCAATTTTCTTATATTATTCATAAATACTTATAAATTTATAATATATAAATAATCATAAAAAAGCGGGGTGGGCTGGGGCAGGCCAGACTGGGATTATTACCCGGACCTGGCTCGTTCAACTAACGAGCATGCCTCGACCCAAACCGTTCTAGAAACAAGTCGGGTTTAGTCCGCCCCGAATGCTCTGGATCGGGTCAGGCCGGGCCTGGTCCAGTTCTTTTTTCCATCCCTAGCTAATAGCTATAACGCCGAGGCGGAGGCTGAGGCGAGGCGGAGACGTCGAGCACTTTTTCTCTTCGGCTTGTAGCGTGAGCTGGAGATGAAGAAGGGGAAGACGGGACGGCGTGAGGCGAGAATGAGGTGGTGCCGTTGAGCGCTTTTCCTCTCCGACGAGCGGCGTCAACTGGAGTTGAGAAGAAAGAGAGGACAGGGCGCCGGAGAAAAACAAGTTTGGCTTTATATGACGAAGAAGTGGAAAAATGGAAACAAAACCCTATC